TGGGCCTCGTCGAGCAAGGTGGCACGCAGCTGCGGCGTGTCCAGGCCATGGGGCTGGAGGCTGCAGATGAGGAAGAGCGCAGGGGACGCAGGGACCCCCAGGCTGTGCAGGGCGGGGGTGCAGGCCTGCCGCAGGGCACCCAGCGCAGCCTCACGGGCCTCACACCCACCACCCAGCAGGCGCCGTAGTGTGTGCAGTGCCAGGTCCGCCTGCGTGCGTACGAAGATCACGGTCTTCCCGGCCTCCTGTGCTGCTGCAGCCACTGCCACCTCCCGCGGCCCAAAGAGCGCAGCACTGGCAGGCTGTGCAGGGCGGGGGTGCAGGCCTGCCGCAGGGCACCCAGCGCAGCCTCACGGGCCTCACACCCACCACCCAGCAGGCGCCGTAGTGTGTGCAGTGCCAGGTCCGCCTGCGTGCGTACGAAGATCACGGTCTTCCCGGCCTCCTGTGCTGCTGCAGCCACTGCCACCTCCCGCGGCCCAAAGAGCGCAGCACTGGCCACCACCACCACATCGGCCTCAGCCAGCCAGGCCTCGGCACCCGGCACCAGTGCCCGCTCCCACAGCAGCAGGCTGGGCTGCCTGGGGTCGGGGTGCAGCTCAGGGGGCCCCGGGGCAGGTGGGACCTCCAGAGGGGCAGCATGGGGGTCAGTGGGTGCCAGTCCCCGCGCTGCATTGATCAATGCTGTCTTGCCGCAGCCTGGCACCCCCAGCACCAGCACCGAGACTTCAGCCAGCTCCGCAACATCTGCAGTGGGTGGCTGCGCCATGGTGGGGGCTGCGGGAGAGAGTGTGGGGGTGAGGGGACCCCAGGGCAGCAGCCCCCCAGGATTGGGGCCCTGATGCCCCCCTACCTGCAGGCCAGTTCCTGCAAATGCCCAGCACCCACCGGGGGGGGGGGGCAGGGGGATGAATGGATGGACAGAGAGATGGGTGGATGGATATAGAGATGGATAGAAGGATGGTTGGGTGGGGGGGTAGGTAGAAAGGTGGATGGAGGGATGGACAGAGGGAGAGATTAGATGCTCTCCTTTATCCCTTCATGTATCTACATAGCCATCCCTCTGTCCACCTGCCCAACCATCCACCCCCTTTCTATCCCCATTTATTCCTCCCTCTATCTATCTACCTACCTACCTAGTACCTACACACCTACATATCCTGGCACTCCTCTATCATCTCTCCCTCCATCTGTTTGTCTGTCTACCCACCTACCTACCTACTTATCCTTCCACCCACCCATCCCTCTGTCTATCTACAGGTGGCTGGATGGAATAGGAGAACAGATAGAGGGATAGACAAATAGGTAGGTGGACAGACGGACACTTGTGGGGATGGATGGATGGATGGATGGAAAGGCAGATGGATGGATAAAGAGGGGGATGGTTGGATGGATGGACAGACATGAATAGGCTGGTAGAAGGATGGATTGACGGATGGACAGATAGGTATATAGGGGCTGGATGGATGGATGGGTAGGTAGGTAGGTAGGTAGAGGGGTGGATGGGCGGACAGATGGGTGGGTGGATGGAGGTGTAGGTAAGTGGCTGGTTGGATGCAACGCAGGGGTAGGCGACGGGAAGCCGGGTCGGTGGATGGACAGATGGACGTGGGGGTGGATGGAGGACGGACGGACGGAGAGAGATACACGCGGCTAGTGGCTAGATCAGGATGTGGGGGGGCGCGGACGCCTGGATACCCCATACTGGGGGGGGCTTGGACCCTTGGATTCCCCTAATGCGGGCGGGTCGGGGAGCGGCTCGGACGCCTGGGTTCCCACGTGCGGATAGAGGGAGGGAGTGGATGGGGAGATGGGGCCTCGGAGGGCCCCATGGGGCCGGACAGAGGCAGGGAGAGACGGGCCCCGGGGTGGAGGGGCAGAGGTGGGGGGGCG